CGATCGTTCATTATTTGATTTCGATTTATTCAAAGTTTGTTATGAGTATTTTTATCTTTACCCTCGTTTTTATTTAAACTTATTTACTAAATTATTACGTATACCGACACAAAAATGATATTTAAATACCAAGATGTGTGTGATAGACGAATGTTTCTATACATATCTATTAATATGAAATTACCCATACATGTATATTGTGTAAATGATAGTAGTGTCGATGTGTGCTACGAACTAATTAGCGGTGTTTTGTGTACATTACAAAACAAAAAGTATCTACGCTGTCGTTAAGGCTTCGCCTCTAAGCGTATAACCTACGGCCGGAGAAACGAATTTCTTTAAAATACCACGTAAAATATGGAAGCCAAAAGAGCAAAACTTGGCGCGTGAGGAGTGCGGAGTACGGAGTGCGGAGTGCGGCAGTAAAAACTTATTTTATGCTCGGATGGATGGCCAACACGGAGATTCCTTGTAAAGGATCCTATCGAGATATCGCCTCAATAAAATATACATACTTTTATCGTCTCCCCAATCTTCCATTCCGTGTATTATTCCAATGTAATACGCAACATTATGTTCTTCAACTAAACAAACAACTCTCTTCACCTTTGTCGCGAATTACAATATTATTTATTCGCAGAGATTAGTATCACGACATCTTATTAGGACTTAGTCGAGAAGATTTACCGACCAGGATAAAAGTAGGGCGTAGAACACATGAGGCTCGGATCTTTAGTGGCAATAAGCTAGCAGGCGGCTGATACCGACAAATAAATGGGCTCATACGACGCTGATTAAAGCCACTAAGTCTTACTAGCTCAGCTAGATTACTGCGAGCAGCCATCCCTAGTTATTGTGAAATAAGTAGCTACTTAATTACAAGTAATATGAACATAGCCTGACTCGACATATTGCGTTGAATAGAAGGTAAGTACGAACTAATCTTTCTATGAATGGTTTGCAAATCGTTAACTGGATTTCTAAATAGTAGCTGGGATCCCCACGGATGCGGGCAGTCATCTGATTCGCTCGTCGTGTCAGTCGTGCACGCACACAATGGTAACGTGTCTGTGATGTTGGGCGAGTGTGTGCGAGACGAGGTAGCGACGCGCCGCCAACTAGCGGCACACGCAGCCGCGCGACTGGTTCGATGTGCGTCACAGACCGGTTCGAAACCAGTAGCGCGGGGCCCGCCGCACCGCACAGGTCGTCCGTGAGTCGCATACTGGTCTGCGATCATCATGTCGCGAGATATTATGAGTGAGCAACAAATCAATATCAAATTCGTGAAAGAAGTACAGAAATATCCGATGCTGTACAACTTCGAGCTGCCTTCATACTCCCGAAGGGATGTCAGCGACGAAGCTTGGAAAGAAGTGGGCAAGGCCATGAATATGACACGTAAGACTATTTGTATTTGTACTAAACTGTCAAACACCGCGCGGTCACCGGTGACCGCAACCTTTAGTTCTTTAAGAGCCACGCGGCAATGTTTGTGGGGCATGCGTATCCCCCGCATCCCGCACCACACCCCGCGCATCCCTTCAGCGGGTTGTGTGGTTATGTCAATATTTATGGACATTTTTCTTCGCAAATATGAATGATATTAACAGAGAATTTTCTTTTGTAATAGAATGTGTCCCTTTGCATAACTTTGTTGTTGAGCGTTTCTCTTGGAACATGCTGTGAATACATTTGTTTACGATTATAGGTTACGTGTTTGACGGCAGTGTGTTACTAACGTGGTATTTTTTTTTTTCAATTATCGTATGATAATCGTTACGGACATTTCAATAAATAAACAAACGATTGTTTATTTACATTTTGTATGTTATCTTGAACAATATGATTATACCACGATGTAATGTATGGTTAGTTCACAATGATATGGATAGGTTGCGCTGTCACCGTGTGACATGACTGAGTCAGCGCGTGCGCAGCCCGACAGGTGCGGGCATTGCGCATACTATGCATTGTATGTTTGTGTGTCTGTGTGTTGTGACATTGAACCGCTTCGGCCACAGACCTGATCATATCATAATTTCACCTATCAGTTTATTTATCTTTACGTGTTTGTTGTTAAGGAATTATAAAAATTGATTATATTTACGTACGAAGTATGTACTAAATATATTGACAACATGAAATGTTACTGGTGTAGAATACCAAAGCACATGGTAATGACAGACGATACAATTTCATTATTTATACTTAAAATGGTACCAGATATTAGTTGAATTGCTTATAACATATAATGGAAATACTTACATAACATAACATCACGCATTTTATCCCCGAAGGGCTAGGCAGAGGTGCACATTACGCCACTGTACAATGTAACACCCACTTTTCACTATTTATGTTATGAGTCCCATGTAATAGGGGATGAGCCTATTGCCATATACCGGGCACAATTCCAGACTCCGTGCTACTATTGAGATTTTTTTAAAACCCAGTAATACTTTGCCCGACCCGGGAATCGAACCCGAGACCTCTTGCCCGGCAATCGCAATTGCGACCACTCGGCCAACGAGGCAGTTGAAATACTCATGTACTTATATCAAAATAATAACAAGTGGTTGACATGATAATCATTGAAAAACAATAATTATGGAAATTGTATTAAAAAGTCTTAAACCAAACTAAGATGAAACGAATCCAATAAATTTTCGACTCGTACAGTCTTTCTTGAACAGATTTGACACAATTACAAAACATTAAATTTGAATTGTAAACCATAACATTATAGTACAAAATACCTTCTGTTTCCAGCGTCAGCCTGCCGAGAAAGATGGCGGAACCTGAGAGCTGTCTTCATGAGGACTATGAAAGCGCCGCCGCCGAGGGTCACAGGGAAAAAGAAACCTTATTACTTGGCCGATGTGATGCAATTTGTCGTACCATTCATGAGACCGATCGCTATGGCAGAAGCGGCTAAAGATAAACAAAAGAAGAATCAACCACCAGATCCTAAAGATGGAGACAACCAGCCTATTGAGGTAGAAATAGACCATATCAAAGTGGAGCAGGTGAAACAAGAGGAGGATTCTGATGCATACGGCCCGTCCTCTGTTGAGGAGGACAGGGAAGGAACCCCTCAGGCAAGGAAACGGTCACTACAGGACGACAGACACCCACAGAACAGCAAAACGCCCAAGCTACAGCCGTCATCCAACGCGGCACTAGACAGTGATCATGTGAAGTCATTCCTCAATAGTCTCCTACCAGAACTTCATGAAATGAGCTCACAACAGTTCAAACACTTCAAAAGACGGGTCCTGCTGCTGATAGATGACATCACGACAGAAATACCAGCCAGTCCACGGAGACGGCAGGACGATGAATACATTTTATAATTGTAATAATTTATTATATTTAATTTTTAATAATTAAGACTAAAACTATTCGTAGGTCACCAATTAAGAATAATACTTAATTAAGAAAGAAGTTCAAATTGTAATTTCAAATATCAAAACACTGCCTTAGTAATTAAAGAGTATTTTTATATTACTGTTTTTTTAATTTTCGTGTTGTTTCTTCTAGAAAAAAAAACATCTATGTATAACTAAAACAAAGTATTGTCCTGCTAATAGGTGTGATAAGCTTGCAACAAAGACAAATTAATACAATAACAATTAAACACATAATATTGAGTACAAATGTAGAATATGAAAGTAGATAACAAATATTTCCCCAGAACATAATTTAATCATTACCAGGATTTCATAGACGACAAAGTTGAACACATTATTTTTTGCTATAACGACATTACTTGAGCACGCTCGGCTGGTACGTAAATCTTACATTCATTTTAACGCGTATTTATTTATTAAAGATAAATTTGTTCCCATTCATCATGTCTAAATAAAAAATTGCAACATATTGTATTGACAAAGGTTGCAGTGAAGATTGATTTCGGTGTGCTTATGTTCGCTTTAATAAAGTAAATGCCTCAAAGTCAAAACATCAGTCAAGTTCGTCGTTACATTGTTCCTCTAATTGAATGGTTCCATCTCCAACTCATAAGAGGATTTGTATGTATTTATGAGTTACAGTAGGTACTACAGAATTAACAAACTTTGTGAGTACTCTGCCTACGTAAATATCATGTGAAATGTTTGTTTGAAAACAATACAATTTGCTGTTGAATTCAATGCAAATAACTTGTTCTGCTTCGATAAACAAACATTTTATTGAACAACAACACTGAGGCCATCCTATAAAATAATCCGCAACTCTATAATAAGAAGCTCGCACCTACACAAAACATGTAAAGCACCGGTTGAGGTGCTAATAAAATGTAAATATATCGCGCTTTCTGAATAAATTCATACAACTTACATATTTATGTGTGTCAGTGGTTCACAATATAAATGAAATCATTTCATTTCGCCTCGTCGACGGTTTAACCTAAGAAACCTTGCTTCAAGAAAACTATTTTCCAGCGGCTGGAAATGTTTCCTTAGGTTTTAAGCGGCTTCACGAGCGCTCAGGAGGCAATGTAGCTTGTATTTGTTGCGCTTGCCCTCCGCTCTCGGGAGCTTTGTACTTTTTGTCAGTCGTATTTTCTTCAGTCTGAGTAGAAATAAATTTCATTTCATTTCAGTCCGTAGCTAAATATAAAAATACAAAGTATATACATGGCTATTACAGTTATTTTCTCATTTCCCAGCTAGACATGGAGCGCATTCAGCGTATTCGCACAACAACATAAGAGTTTTTTTTATTTATTGTCAAACATAAATCACGCTTTACACATATTTATCTAGTATTAACCTACCAGGCAAGCAGAAGCGGCTAAGAAGCGTCAGTTCGCCGTCAGATCTCCGGATAAGTACGACAGAGAGAAATGGACCGGCCCCGGGCGGGACAGCGATAAATAAGGAAAAAACGGACACACAGATAGCCCAGTATGTCACGCGGATTACGCCGGCGGCCCGTATTTGAATAAGAATTGCCAATAAGGAGGGAGGGGGATGGTTAAACTGCGCTCCTAAAGTGTCCTACTACCCTAATATCGATCTGTTTAAGCGTTGAGGTTCTCAGCAGTGCTAGACGACTGGGGTGACGATTTGTTTATGGTTTGGGCCGAGTGTGTAGCACCATCAACGTTAAGCAGAAAAAGAAATACAAATAAACATCACACTTTTCGAACCTTAGAGCTTTTTGGTTCTGAATTAAAATAGCAGTTCCTTTACCGCGAAGTTACGTATTCAGTAGATACGCAAGAAGTTAGTTCGCATCCGCATGTGAAAGAGTCACTGTTATTTTATTTCACAAGATAAAAGGGGTTGAAATATATGGGCTCTTATTTCCACCGGAGCGTCATCTAAGCAAATATCAGAAATATCAGGTTATAGAAAAAATTATAAAGTTACTTTCACTTTGAAGGGTATTTCTTCAGACCGAGTACAATTATGGTTTTACTTCCACAAAATGGTAAGGAAGTTGAAATTAGTGAAAAATCTCCGAGGAAATTCTTACACAATACAATTTTTCCTGTGTTCAGAATGCCGCTCGGAGGCTTCTCCATTACCGAAGTGATTTCATTAATGCTCTTTAAAAATCTCTGAGGCTGTTGTTTAAATAATTATATACGGGGCGAAGGTCGAGTTTGTTTCATTTACTCTCGTTGCGAATCGAAAAAATACGGAGATAAAGTAGGTGCGGAGTGTGGCGGGCGGATGAGATGAGATAGAGGATCCCGTCAAAAATATTTTGCACAGCGTGGAATAATGGACAAATCAGGGTGTGGAGCAGGCCGCAGCTGGGGAAGGTCCTTTGAAATATGAGCTCTGTTTATAAATAAAAGCGGTTGGTAATAGCGGGCCGTTTCTCTCCATTTCGTTTGAAATATATTGTAGGTTCTGTGCCAGGCGCCGCGCCGGCTGGTCAGGTGGCCGGCTGCCGCACACGGCGACTTGTGAAATTGGAACATGTTCCGGTCAGTGTTTAGGGTTGGTAAGTCAGCCGCTTGTTATTACATGAAAGAAATCATGTTCTTTGTACACACTCGTTTACTTATATTTGCAACAAAAGCACATTTTGTAACCCCCACAACACAGTTGTGTTTCAATTCAAGTGAAGCGAAGATATAGTATGAATGAACGATGCCGATCGGGTACAATCTACAAAGAGACTACGCATTGACATTTCTCCCAATGAAATATTATTTCTGACACAAACATGTACAACCCGTGCGACCTTTAAACTCGTGTTGTGGTCTGAATGGAAAGATAGTCCGAGTTTAGATCCTACGTTCGTTGGGTCGTTATCCACAACACCTCAATTTACTATTCTAAGTAAAACCTACACTAAAGAATGAGTGAGAAAATCGAATAGCTAACGTCCTAAATGAATTGTTAAGAAAACATTTTAAAAAGTTGTAGGTATTTATGGAAACTGGATCTGTAATTGCTGGTAGACCAGTGTTTAGTGTATTCTAATAGCAAAAACCTTTGTGCAGCTGTCAACTTGTTAAGTTAATACTGCTCAGTTTACAGTCAATGTGTAGGTAACTATTACGTACCTACGTATGGCAATGAATGCTGACGGGGCCAGAGCGCAAGTGAAAGGATTTTTTTATAGCAAGGCAAGGTTGCTTGTACTAAACTCACTGCAAACTGTTATTTCGGTGTTTATAATGTCAGGGGGCGTAGCTCAGATGGTAGAGCGCTCGCTTAGCATGCGAGAGGTACCGGGATCGATACCCGGCGCCTCCAACCTTTTATTTCACTTTTTCCCATTTTACAATTAAAACTATCCAGCACAATTTGGAATGTAAACTCGAAATATTTAAAACAATACAAAGAGCAGCAGTAATGAATAAAGTTGTGTAAATAACTGGTGTGCAAATTACCATCAGCGCAGCCTCCAATTACCATATCGAGATTGTTTTAATTGGATGCAGATTTACACGCTCCGATACATCCACAAAAATACAGTTCCGGGTTAATTCCGTAAATGACACTTCACTTATTGAGCAGTTATTTCTGCGAGTCAATATTGAATCTATTTAATTTGTTTGGCGGCCATTGCTCTGCGCGAAGGGTTCATTAAAAAAAGGTCCACAACAATGTATTTGTATTCTGACTCTGTTGAGCGACGCGACTTTCCAATTGGTGTACACTAACAAGACTTTGAAACGGGTAGGACCGTAATAATAAGCCTCGTAATCCCACAGGTAAAGTCGGTACAGTATAAACTTCTTCGATTTTATGCGATCCTTATAGGCGAGCGCTCCTGGTCACTTTCAATAAGTTGAGTCACATATTCCCCGTGCGACGGGCGATTCTATTATAAATAACAATGTGAACGTACCGATCCTTTCCGTCCGGGGAAGCTGAAGAACACGTCCGGCCCGTTCCGGTGCGGCATCTGCCGGAGCACGTTTAGCAGCTTCGCAGAATGCCTCGGCTGTAACACACAAAGATTATTTAAATATCGAATATGACAGTCGTAGCAAGTAGTAGGGTGAATGCAAGGTTTGGAGTGAGATTCCAATAGCCATATTTCTCATTCCTAAATTTTAAATTTTAAGAATCGGAGAATAAAATACGTAATATTATGTTCCGTTCATAATATTACAAAGGTTGAAAACATAACAAAACAATACGGTATATATATAGTATGGAACGCCAGAAAGGTTCGGTCCTTTTTAAAATAATATTGTATAAGCGGCTATTTCTATCCAATTTCATTTGCCTTTTATTAAAGCAAGTTATTTTTATTAAAGCCTTTTAGCCACATTTTCAAACAAGGATAATAACAAAGAAAAAATCTCTTCCAAGTTGAAAGTTTTAAAATACTACGACATAAACCCTCTCGATATTGGCAGTAATGGCGGCCGATAAAGGAAACCTTGCCAACGCAAAAATAAAAGGAAAAATTTATAAAGCTGCCAGACAGTCTTTATCTCGCAAAAAATATTTTAATCTTGACTTGTTCTTTGCTAATGACTTGCTTTAACTAAAACCAAAAAAGCCTACTTAGTAATAGATTAAATAGGAGCTAAAAAGGACAAGCGATTCTCATTCACAGACAAACATAAACACAAAGTAAGAGTGCCGCCTGTGCCGGCTAATTACCGTTTCACCGCACTGTCTGTAAAACGATGCAAATTTCAAAAGCATTGGCGGTGCGGCTAATTGCACGTTTGGCCGTAGCCTTCCCCATTTGTCCGTGTTCTTCTCGTATCCCTCTAGTTTATGTTACCCTGGTCGAATTAGACCGTTTTTGCAGGGGCGGTAGCCGGGAATTTGCGTCAGGAACGCTTTCAGTTCGGAGTGGAACTTTGTAATGACATTTTTAAATGTCAACAGAGATAGGAATGTTGTTTTGTGGAGCAATAAATTGGTTGTTCAAAATAAAAGTTCAAAGTTGCGAATGTTTTGCTGTGAATTGTTGCTGGTCAGGTATTTATATTGTTGTCACATACATAAGGAGGGTTTAGTTTTGTATAGCTATGTATCTAAACCCATCTATCTCGGTTCCTCATTAACTGGACCCAAAGTTCCTCAATTAACTTTTGAAGAAGAAAGAACTTGACTTTGTAGCGTAGAACTCTAGAAGTAAATTTGAAAAGCAATAAAAGTCTATGTTTCTGTGTGGTAGTGTTGAGAAGGCGGTCGTCTCGAGTGGCCGGCCGAGCACACTCGAGCCGCTGATGCCCGGAAACTATCACTTATGTTGCGCGCCCTCTTTGCTCCGAAACGAATATAAAGTTACACACGCCTAGTAAACGTGATGTATGAGAATACAAAAATACGTGACGATTATGTGAACGTGAACAGATTAACAACGAACGTAAAAATATATATATCAAGTTATTTTATAGATTTATTTAGAGCAACTGAAATTTCGTAGAAATGTGATTTATTTTGTCAAAGAAAGATTCGACGCTGGAATTATAGCTATATTCTAATTAAAGAATATTAAGGCTATGCTTACCCATTTTCCGTTGACTGCTTTCATGGCACTAAACAGCTGTTTGAGCTCTTTGACTGTGACACTGTAGCTGGCCAGCACGCCCAGCATCTCGATGAGAAGGTCTGCAGCAAAGGAAGAATCGTTACAGTCAACATCAATGTATGATGACAAGGTATTTGATAGTTTCTTATAGATTTCAGTGACGATATTAGCTATCCCGGCTTTTCAAATTAAGAAACTGTTTATAATAGAATTGACTTCAGTAAAGTTCTAGAAGCAGATTCTAGCATGGCTGTCTGAGCTTTATATTATTTATCTTTATCATAGGAATAAATAATTGTCTCTCTTTATTCCCCAAATTATCCTCGTACCAAAGTAACAGAGTCCGTTTTTCAAAGCCAAACAAATATCAGTAGCAATAATTTAATGAGCTATTTAATTACAGTGTCACACACAGCTCTTTGTAAAATATACAGACTAATTGAAACACCCAGTAATTAATTAATACAAATTATAAATTCACGCGAGACCAACCGAAACAATGCAATGCAATACACACACAAGTTCAGTAAACACAAATAACACACACTACATAGATATCGATATGTTTGTGTGTGTATGAATCACTAATTAAGATTAGGCCTGCAGTGAACCCCAGCTCAGCTAGTTCGATCCTAATTTGGTCGTTCACTATAGTGGCTAGTCTCAATTTGAGTATGATGGGTAGTTTTCAACAAGTCGGTCTAGTCGGTGTTCAAGACCAAACTTATTAAACCAAAAAATATATTTGTTCAAAGTTGTCTCATAGCTCGATAGATGGCGTTGTCGCAATTAAAATCGAGCTATGGTTTCGTTACCAATGAAACTATAAGGTAAAATTGATTTGTAAGACCAAAATGTCTAATGCAATACTAATGTCAAATATATAGAACATATACCAGCTTAGATCAGTACACAGAGGCGGTTTTATTTATATTCACCCCATCTTGTGTGCTAGTAGGACAGCAGATCACCTAGTAGCTTAGCTAGGAAACATTGGTCCTATACGACCCGGATCATTTTTGAGTTCAAAACGGCCACCGTGTTGGCCGCTTTTCCGCGTACCTGTAGTGGATCGCTACAGAAAGGTACGCGAGTCCTCCGCACTAGCGGCGACAGCTTCACACAGCTAAGGCGGTGAGCTGAGCCAGCTTTGGCGGATTAGTTCAACGAGTGGCCACCAGAAGGCGCCACTCAGATCAACACTCCACTAGAAGACCTACAGCAAGGTGGCGCAGCCGTCAAGAGACGTACGCGTAGTTCCGCGGGCAGCCACAGAGGGCGCCACTTGGAGGTGCAAAGTGTGTTAGTGTGAAGTGCAAACTGTGAGTACTCTTTTCATTATTAGATTTCAAGAGAAGTTTCAAGCAATTTTAAACTCTATTCCAAAGACATTTCGGACTTAGAATATTTTATTGGATTGTGATCTATGAAGAAAAGACTTAGTTTATTTTAACTTAATTTTATCTTAGAGTAATATATGTACATGGTAGACTTAGAATAATTTTATAAAAAACGAGGGAACGGGGAGTCTATGCCGGATTTCCGTCCCAGTAGGTAATTTAAAGTTCAAACACTTGTAAAAATTTTAGTAAATTTTTACACTTAGATTAATTCCTGAGTTATATTGTTCTTGTGAAGTTTGATGAAATTTGGTTAGAGTTGTTCATTTACACAAGTTAATTGTTTATCTTTTGTTAGTTGTTATTGTAGTCAATAAAATGGAAGGATTAGTTAATCTTTTAAAGGAACTTCAAAATGTTATTCAGCGAGGATTGAGTAATTTTAAAAAGTCACCTAAAGAAAGACTGTCTCTTGATTATATTCAAACTAGAAGAGAGTTATTAGAACGGGACTGGAATTTGTTTGTAACTAATTACACTAAACTGCATGAACAATATGAAAAACAAGGGAATATAATGTTATCGGAATTATATGATAGTACAGAAGACACATATATCACATACACATGTCTGATTAAGTCCATGCTTGCTAAATATGATGTTCCTAAGGCAACTATTTCGGAACCTGGTACTTCTGGTAACTCAAATAAATCAAATATAAACTCTTTTGTAAAATTACCAAAAATATCAATTCCAAACTTTAGTGGCAAATACTCTGAGTGGACAACTTTTAGAGACCTATTTGTATCACTCGTGCATAACAATAGTAGTTTAGACAATGTTCAGAAAATGCACTACTTGAAGAGTCATCTTAGCGGTGAGGCAGAACAGCTTGTTAGACAAACACCGGTTTCCGAAGTAAATTACAGTCAGTGTTGGGCACAATTAGAGAAAAGATACAACAATAAAAAGTATTTAGTTAACTGCATTTTGAAACGTCTTTTCGGGTTAAAACGTATGCATGTTGAGTCAGCGATTTCTTTAAAGGAGTTGTTAGACACAACAAATGACTGTCTTAACGGTTTGAAAAATCTAAAGGTAGATGTGACAACTTGGGATGTCATTATCATCCACATAGTTACTTTTAAGCTCGATTCAGAAACGCGGAAACAATGGGAATTAAGCCTAAGTAATCACAATTCCAATGAGTTGCCTACTTATGATGAATTTGCTACGTTTTTAGAGAACCGGTTCCGCGCTCTTGAATTTATAGAACCAAAGAGAAATTTTCAAAATCAAAATAATCATTCGCATGTTGCTAAATCAATGGTCGTGAGTTCAAGCAACATACGTTGTGAGTATTGTAACGAGTCTCATAAACTGTGCTTTTGTAAAAGATTTGCAAAGGAATCCTTGGAAGAGAGACGTAAATTTGTAGCGCAACACAACATTTGTTTTAATTGTTTAGGAGGTAATCACACGGTAATAAACTGTAAGAAGCCAACAACTTGCAAGCTTTGCCATAAGCGTCATCATTCTTTACTGCACCCAAATCTGGACGGTACTAACAGGAGTGATACTGCATCAAAACCTACTGTCGTTGAAGCTAGTCCTTCGACTAGTTCTGTTCCAGTAGTCTCTTGCATATCTACTAACACGGTTCCTGTTCCTGGACAAGTTTTACTAGCCACTGCTCTAGTAAAAGCTGAGTCCAAGACGGATAACTATCAGGTAGTAAGAGCTCTGTTGGATCAAGGTTCACAGGCTTGTTTTGTGACCGAGGACACAGTGCAGTTCTTAAGGCTTAAGAAAATTCCCATACATGGAATGGTGTCAGGATTAGGTCAGAAGTCGACTATAGCGAAACATATGGTGAATATAACTATTCAATCCAGGGTAGATTCAGATTTTAAATTAAATTTCAACGCTTACGTCATTAGTAAAATTACTTCATACTTACCGGATCAAGCATTAAATAAAAATACTTTTAACTGGTTCGATATCACCAACTTACAGTTGGCCGACCCACAGTTCAATCAACCTAGTAAAATTGATATTTTATTAGGTGCAGATGTTTATGGTTGCATAATAAAAACAGGCATTATCAAAAGTCCAACTGCTAATTTAATTGCTCAGAACACCACATTAGGATGGATTCTATCTGGTGTAGTACATAGATCAAACACTAACAATAGTTCAAGTTACACACAGCCATGTGTTAGTGTAGCACACGCTCAGTTCAATTTAGATCAAATTCTCAAACAGTTTTGGGAAATTCAAGATCAAACTAGTACAAAAAAGGTACTTTCGCCAGAAGAACAACAATGCGAAGACTTTTACAAGGCCACAACTAAAAGAAGAGCAGACGGTAGATATGAAGTCCGGTTACCATTTCGAGTTAAGGATCCGCAGTGCACAGCAGGTGATTCTCGCGCTATAGCTGAAAACAGATTAAAATCATTAGAGAAACGGTTGGCAAAGAACACTGAGCTAAAGGAAAGGTACTCGGATGTAATAGAAGAATACTTACGTTTAGGGCACATGCGACCTGTAAAACCAGATGACAATAAAAAAGAAATAGCTGTGTATTTACCACATCACGCCGTCGTAAGAGAAGACAAAACCACTACTAAGGTTCGAGTTGTGTTCAATGCATCTCAGAAGAACGGTAAAGGAGTTTCCTTGAATGATACTTTGATGGTTGGACCGACACTACAAGCGGACTTGAGGCACACAATTATGAGATGGAGAACTCACTCTATTGGACTGGTGGCAGATATAATTAAGATGTATCGCCAAATTAGAGTAGCTGATGAGGATGCTATGTTTCAAAGGATACTCTGGCGGAGCAGTCCTAACGAGTCGATCAAAGACTATGAACTCGTAACAGTTACTTTTGGAACGGCGTCGGCACCTTACCTGGCGGTTAGAACTCTCCATCAAATTGCTTACGACGAAGGCGACGAATATCCTCTCGTGACTGAAAAGGTACTAAAGTGCTACTATATGGACGATTTAATGACCGGATGCGATGACGTCACTACCGGCATCAAAATCTACAAGCAAATGAAAGAACTTTTAGCCAAAGGAGGTTTCGAACTTCAAAAGTGGAGCACTAACAATAAAGAGTTATTAGATCAAATTAATACAATAGAGCGTAAAGTAGAGAACAACGAAGAAAATGAGAGTAAAGCTAAAGATAGAGAACAAAAGGAATTAGAAATGAAATTAGATAATACTATGAAGATCTTGGGACTTACCTGGGATCGTAATGATGACTCCTTCCGGTACACCGTTCATCTCCCGCCGCTTCAGAATACACCTGCAACAAAAAGAACTGTAATCTCTGATATAGCTAGATTATTCGACCCATTGGGTTGGCTAGCGCCCACAATAGTTGTAGCCAAAATCTTTATACAGAAATTATGGCTCGCGGGTCTCGGTTGGGATGAACCACTTACTGAACAATTAACGGAAGAATGGCGTACTTATCGGGAACAGCTAACATTACTTACCGAAGTTAATATACCTCGTTGGCTGGGGAAAACCATAGAAACCGACGTAGAGCTCCATGGATTTTGTGACGCGTCGAAGGTAGCATATTCCGCTGTAGTATACATGCGACTAACTAAAAACGTAGGAGAGGTCAAAGTGTCATTGGTTGCTGCAAAGACTCGCGTGGCACCAATAAAGCAAGTTAGCATTCCTCGCTTAGAGCTGTGTGGGGCAGTTCTCCTGTCACGACTATTGATGGAAACTGCTGAGGTGTTGAAT